TTATCTATAAATCTGTTGCACACCAAAGAAAACATCAGAGCAATGGGAGAGAAAAGCTGTGCGATGGAGACTTCCCCCTGAATGCAGTGTGGGGACCCTCAGCCCCAGGGTTTAGGGCAGGGCACAAAATGAAGGCGGTGGAGGAGCACTGTAGTGAAAGGAACGTGCTGCTATAAAGGGCAGCCAAAGGAAATCAGCAGAGGGTGTTTGCAACTGTTTTGGGTTTTTTTTAAGACTTGAAAAGTGAAAGAAGGAGGGAAATTAGGAAATTAAGCTTATCCCTTACCCTGCAGATCATTCCTCTGTATTTTTTCCACACTCCACAGCAGAGTGGTGTCTCTACATAGTATTTAGGTGCTGAATACAGCACCTAACTGTCCTTGTTTCTGTGAAGACAGTTTTTTATGTAGCTTTGTGTTAGGCAGAACTGTGTTCTGCTATTGCCATAGACATTTTCTATAATGGGCATATGCTGAGCAAAAGAATATTGCAGTGTTTAAAAGAAAAAAAAAATCGCTGGAATTACTCTGAACATGACAGACTTACATGTTGTGGTACGAAAAACTTATGTTTACAATTAAATAGCCATTTACAAAAACAATTTATGTTCTCTTTTAGAGCCTACTTCTTCCCAGAAGCCAGTTTAGGCAATTCTTTTATAAAGCACGGATGAGCTTGCATCAACATTCAAGATTTATTCACAATTTAAATTTCATTAATAAACCCAACTAAAACCCAAGCACTCCCAAACACAGGGAAATACCTTGCCTGAGCCTACTCAAATTCCCTTCTTACACTTATTCTTTTATGCTGTTTTTTTTATCTAGGCCTTTAGTCGGGATTAAATCGTGGCAAAACCTCAGAGGTAACTAGTCTCTAAGAAATTGCAGATAAATTATTAGATTTCTTGGGAGTAAACCTGTCTGGACTGTAACTGGTGTAACATTGCCCAGGACAGGGCACACTTTTCACACACAATTCAACCTCTTCAAATTGGACCAGGATTGTCTACCAAGTCTTGCTGCAATGATCTCGGACATT